GGCGTGCTTGACCCGATCTGCGAACGCTACGGTGTTGGAAAGAAGTACCCGTCCAAGTTGTGGAAACGGGTCAAAACCCAGATCGACAACACCCAGGAGCTGGACCTTTCAAACGAAGCAAAGTGGGCGGCCGTCGCTTCTCACCCCTTCAAAGATTGCGGCGGCATCGAGTCCAAGTGATGATGAGGAAGAATAGTCGACTTTTTCTTTTTTTTCCCCGCCACCAACCAACCCTTCTTTTTGTCCCGCAAGTGTCTTGATATTAGTGTGACCCCCCAAGTGTCTTGGTTTTAGTGTGTGACCCCCAGGTGTCTTGGTTTTAGTGTGGTTCACTACTATACTGATTTTAGTATAGGGGGCGCGACATGGATCGTTGAGTAGAGGGGGGGGTTGGATGAGGGCCCTACTGTTGCTTGCTTTGCCCCGTAAGTGTCTTGGTTTTAGTGTGGTCCCCCCAAGTGTCTTGTTTTCAGTGTGGGGGCCACTATTATGCTGTTTTTAGTATGGGGGACGCGCCATGGATCGTTGAGTAGAGGGGGGGCTAGGTTTAGGGTCAGGGATAATTCTTGGTATTTTTGCCTTGTTTTTGTCATTGCCCCGCCCCCCCCGCCTGGTCGGAGGGGGCAGAATACATGCAAAATGCGGCCTTTTTCAGGCCGACTGGTTTTTCTCGGGCGCTCATGCACGCGGGGTGGCGCATGCATATAAAATAAAATAAATGTTTCTTGCTCAAAAAACTCCGAAGATTTCAACAAAAAAATCGAAAAACAGATCGGACACGGTTAAGGGCCCGTACAAATTTAGGTACCCTAACTTATGATACAGAGGAAGTATGACACAACTTTGTTGAAGGACCGAACAGCAACAACGGATTGTGCCTCCTCCCTCAAACGCTCAAGCTCTCTCGCAGTGACTCCGAGTTAATGCCCCTCACGGTAAACCCCTCTCCACTGGTTGATGCTCAACGGTGCGCCCTGCCTCTTGCTATGTACTTCGAAGTTAATGAAACCAATAGGGGGAAATAGAGGTTGGGTTGTATAGTCTAGTGTGGTCATACCACCATTTCATTTGTAGAGGCGGCGCCGCGATTTTTTTTTTGAGGCCTCGTGACTCGTGATGACAGCAGTAATCGCATGCACTAGCATCATCACGGGATACTAGCATAAAAAATAACGCTGACTTCCTGTTTATCATGTGATGTGTCGGGTGGAGTACGTGGTGCATAGAAACGCGTCTTGCGGGTATCGGCTCTGTCTGCAGATATTTGAGTATCAATGTGGCATATACATTCTGATGGCGGGTTCCGAGCTGAAGACGACTTTTTTTTTGGAGGGGGGACAACTTCTTTCCATCCCCGCAACAAGTATTGAAAATTTAATAGGATCATTGCATGCCCTGATAATGACGAGCTGCGAAAAAAAAAAAAACGTCCGTGGTGTAAAGTGTAGACCCGGCCTCCAAAATCTGGACCGGGTACCCGGCCCGCTTTTGGGGCTTGCAAACTGGACCGGACCGGGTACCCGTCGGGCCGGAGAACCCCGGGTACCCGGGTACCCGGAATATCGTCCCGCGTTCCCTCCCATCTCTATAATTAGTAGGGTTGTAGCGTCGTCGAAGGTTCTAAGGCGGCGTGGTTAGGCCGTCTGCGGGAAAGGATGGCATCATTTTGTGCCTCTCACCACGACTCTCGCCATTGTCCACCAGACAAGAAGCGAGGAAGGGATGGCCACTCGTGCTTTCAGATATATATATAGCCTGGGGCCAAGAGAAATTCCCTTCTTCATGTTTTCTTTAGAAAATAAGGTGTGCATGCATGATATGCATACGTGTGACCAAACATTTTGTTCACCGATCGATCACAGACGAACAGACGAACAGCGAACCTACATGCCACAAACCTGCATCGGTTGCTCTGCCGACACCTTTAAAAACAAAAAAAACGAATCAAACAATCCTCGTCGAAGTGTACTAAGTATGTCCAGCTTCACCCCTGCCGCAAAACAACTGCGATCTTTGTCTTTGCGCCAGCAATCAATAGCTACGTCGAGAGGAACCTAATTTGGAGGAATTCCTAACCAAAAGACATTTCAAGGACGGGTTTAGTGTTGCTGCGATTGATTGCTGCAAGCAAAGAATATGACTCTATATACCATATATAGAGTCATATTCTTTGGCTGCAAGAGTTGCTGTGGGAGGGGGGGCCGTACTACGAAAAGGGGCCCCGTACATTAAACATTCCGGGTACCCGGGTACTCGTGGCAAAAATACCCGCGGTTCACAGATCTGGACCGGTTCGGTTCCGGGACATGGCGGGCCGGGTACCCGCCACCGGGTACCCAGTCCAGCACCAACCGGGCCTAGACTCTACCACGCCGTGGTGCCCGGGTTTCAACGAGTTTTATCGATTTCCCACGGCGAATTCGCAAAAACGCAAAAAGCGGGGATGGCCGCTAAATGTCCCCTGGTTTGAAAAGTGCTCAGATCGACCTGAGAAATTCAGGTCAGTGTAATTTTGGGGTGGGGATCACGAATCCGTCGTCCAAATTTTCGAGCTCGCCCCAGATAAAAAAAATGTAGAGCCTCACACTCGTGTTGTGTTATTGCCCAGGATGTCCAGACGAAACGCCACCGAAACTTACTGCTACGCGGCAGGACCGCGTACACCCCCCCCCGAAAACAACCAAAACCCTCCCAGCACGCCCTCAGTACCCCGACAACCTTCTTCTATGTGCTTTTGCAGAAAGAATCGTCGAACTTTTGCAGAAAGAATCGTCGAACTACGTACCAGGCACCCTCTTTATCACACAGAAATCTTCCTTGCCGAACACGATTGCTTTCGATTTTCTCTTGCTACCAGGGACGGGGTCAACTCCAACCACAGGATCTACCCCAGTGACCCTAATGACCGTCTCCTCAACTTCGTCTGCTTTAAGCACGGGGACTTGCCCCGGATACATGCTATTCGTAAAGCACATGTTGTACTCGCGCCGTCGGCACGCTGAGCAAAAGCAAGACGCGGCCGAGGTGTAAAGCTCGTGGGCGAGGATGACCTTCTCGGCGCGAACCACCTCGCACCCCCGCTCCGTTTCCTCCCTCTCCGACTCTACTTCCTCCTCTTCCTCCCTCTCCCCCTCCGCGTTCCCCTCCCCCTCCTTCTCCCCTTCCACATCGCTTTCCTTCTCCTCTTCCTCATACCCCTCCACCAACGTGAAAAGCGCTTTGGGCCTCCGCGCCCTGCCGCTCCGTCTTGCACCGGCAGACCCATCCCCCCACGTCTTTTCCCTCTCCTCCTCCTCTCCCTTCTCGTCACCAGGGTCCGTGCGGCGGCCATCCCTCTTCCTCTTCCTGCCCCCCCGCTTGACGCCGCCGGAGTCGCCCCCTTGCCCCGTCCCCGCCCCCCCCCCATCCCCCCCCTCACCTTCATGCTGGCTCTCCTCTCCCGTAGCCCCGCCCCTTTCCCACGCCGGGCTCCACGGCACATACGACCTTGCCCTTTTCACTGTGAGCTCCGTCCCCTCCACCTCCCCCACGTCCGTTCCCATCGCCAGTGACCAATCTTTCTCCATCACGTCCGGAACGCTTTCGTCTCTCCCCCGCCTAGTCGTGGTCGCGCGGTCCGTAAGCCCCGCGTTGGCCCCTACAAAGAGGTAGGCGTCTCGAGTACCTGTGATGCCTTTTAGCTGCTGCTCCGGCCTGTAGACAGCGCCCAGCCCGATGAGCTTCACATGCACACGCCGGATGCGATACGGCGACCACGTGGAGAAGTAGTCCGCGAGCTCCTTGTTCCCAACCCCGATGTGGTCAACGTACTCTTTCAAGAATTTCACCACACCAGCCGCCCCTGCGATGAGATCGCCACGTTGCTCGGACATCCTCATGGCGTTCTTCGCCACACCGCCGATCCCGTCGTGGCAGCCTTTGAAGTGAGAGGTGGCCGCAAAATGGTGTTCGACGATAAAGCCAAGCTGCCGCACACTGTCAGCCAGAAAACGGAAGTTGCGCCTCCCCTTGTACTGCTTGGCGCACCCGTCCGTGAACATGTGCATGCGGGGGATCCGTTGGGCTTCCCGAGCGGCGGCAGTTGCATCACTTCCGGGCCCATCCAAGTAGTAGTCGGCAATCTGANTGGCCCATCCAAGTAGTATTATAGTCGGCAATCTGAGTTAGCGCGTGGCGGTGAAAGTCGAAGTCGTGTGCAGGGTCCTCCGAAGCAAAAATCCATGTCTCGGTCTGGTGAACCCTTCCGCCGCCCTCCCACAGCTGCGGACTGAAGTGCACAATAGCCACCATGAGCGTGGTTTGGGGATGCCGCGCGCAGGTGAGGACGGCCCGAGGAACGTGCGAATATTTCTCGATAAAAAAAATCTGTCTCGATCACGATATCGCCGTCTTGAAACGTGCTCAAGCAGAGCCCATGAGAGTTTGTCTGCCACTTGGCCTTCGCATGATGAGCGATGTACAGCTTACTGTGCTTCTTGAAGTCCGCCCACAGGTCGCAGAGCTTGCCCTCCTTCTCGACTTGTTGGTTTTGCAGGGGCTTCTTCCCGGGCCTCTCAACGTCTTCATACCGGGTCCATTTGACAACCTGTTGCGACGTTTCCAGCGCCTTGCAGGTCGGGATGCCCCCTTCCTTCCCAAACCCACAGAGCGTGCACTCCATAGCACTGCAGGCCGGCTTCCGTCCCATGAAGCCAACCTCATCCTCCGGGTCCCCCTCTCGTAGGTCCACCTTTGGGCATGCCAGCGCTTCCGAAAACGTCCCCAGGTGTTCCCACATCCCCTTACACGCCGCTTGTCCGTCCGGGGCGCTGCACCACCGACAGTCGCATGCTGCACGACCCTGCACGTCCACTTCGCGCAGCGCCTTCAGATACAGGTCTTGCTGCGTGTGGATCTTGCACGCGCACTGGTCTGTTTTCAGGGTAGTCAGGCACTTACACCCGAGAGGAACGAACGAGTGCGGTCAGGGTCCTTGATGTCCTCGCCCTTCTCCGATTTCCAGATCCTCTTGAAGTTGATGTAGTCCGGCCACTGGAAAAAATTGGAGAAAGCTGCCTCGCGACGCCTCATACTTCCAGACCCCGTGCGGGCACAACTTTTTGCCTGACCAACTTTCTGAGTGGCTCTACCCCCCCTAAATCGACAGAGCGGAAGCGATTGCCGAGGTCGGCGAGAAAAAAAAAAGTTCGGGAATGCGGCGAAAAAAAAGTTCGAGCCAAAGGGCAGCTTTTTTTTTTTCGCCGACTTTTTCTGACATCGTATTTGGTCGTTTCAGAACGANGGAAAAAATTGGAGAAAGCTGCCTCGCGACGCCTCATACTTCCAGACCCCGTGCGGGCACAACTTTTTGCCTGACCAACTTTCTGAGTGGCTCTACCCCCCCTAAATCGACAGAGCGGAAGCGATTGCCGAGGTCGGCGAGAAAAAAAAAAGTTCGGGAATGCGGCGAAAAAAACAGTTCGAGCCGAAGGTCGACTTGTTTTTTTTCGCCGANGAAAAAAAAAATTCGTGCCCGCAGGGGCAGTTTGTCTTTAGCTCGGAACCCGCCTGATGGCAGAGCAACGCAGCGAGAGGGGTCGAAATTTTTTTGAGTGAACGGAACGACGACTGATTGCCTGCCGCTAAGCTGTTTGTTGTGTGTGATAATATGTACTGTAGGATGCACATCGAGCAAACATTCCAATTAAATTGCGCTTTTTCGGGGGCTCAATTGTGTGATGATAGATCTAATAGGGAGGGCCATCACCTACAAGATGTTCTGTAAGTATGCCCATATGTCATCATGGATACCGTAGATTTTTTACCGACATTGTATCCATATCCAATCTATCCATCCCTCCCTGCAATAGAGGAACAGGGAAGGACGCCGGGACGAACCCGTTGACCTTGACTTTCTCACCTGGGCCACCCATCGAGAGAGAATGCCAAGAAGAAGCCAAATGTGCCGTCTGATGTGATGAGGTGATGCCGACAAAGAACGGATGATGGACAATACACATCTTCCCCATCCATCCTCACCAAGATCCCCTGAAAGTTGTACGTGCAATTTTTTACAACACAGGGTACGGATGGTGCCTACGGTGAATGGGATGCTCAGTCAGTTGGCCATCGTACCATACAGCAGTGAGGGACCCTAAACAACCGGTTGAATATTCGGCAGCTTGCGCCAGCCAGTGACGCTCGGGCCGAAAATGCACAGGTGCCCCCCCCCCCCCTCCCTTTTCCCACCGCGCTTTTCTGATGGAGCATTACACTGAACAATTTCCAGCAGATGACCACGGAAGAACCTTTTATTCGTTGCCCCCTCTCTGTCCCTCTACGTTCTAATGAGCTCTGATAGCTGCAGGCGGAAACACAAGCCCAACGAGCCCCTTCGTTCACGTCTCCACACACAATCACCATCATGTTCTACTTGGCCATTTCCCAACAAAAAAAAGGTGTTGGTTCGGGTTCAACTCTTCGTTCGACTGCCTACATACTTCGGATCGGATCGGATCCATGGTAATCGGGGAGGTAGGTTATCTCCCACCTCGGTCGGACGTTTTGTTTGCCTTTGTATATTTATCAGACCGCTCTCACCCACCACGAGACCGGCGGGCGCGATGTGTGACGAGTGGTGTAATGCCCCCCCCCCCCTTCCCCTAAAAAAACGAAGTCTGCGACACATGTGACACAAGCAGTAGGCGCTGACATGTTCGTGCCGTCCAAAGCAGTGCTGTACAGACTACAACGAAATATTCGACCTCCGCTCTCACAGATAGAACATTCTCGCAAACTTTTCAAACCAACTACCTGACGAGGTCTCAACTTCCAAGCACAAGCATGCACCCGTCGTGCAGTTACCTCTGAAAACACTTCCAGATACGCAGATACATACACACATGCATAAAAACAATGTTCCCGGTTTGATCTAAATCACTCGACTTTCACGCACGTCCATCCAGCACACGTCAATATGGTACCGGAGCGAAATCCAGAAAAAAAAACGGTTTCGTTTTCTTTTCGGCAAAGCACAATAGTGCCCGCCCCATCAAAAGAAGCACAATGTTTTTCAGCACGACTCAAACCCATACAATGTCTCAATCGGATGAGCACATGGACTTTTTTAAGCCACTCTACCCTATCGGATCAAGTGTGGTGCCGGTAACCGAACCTCATTCCCTTATGCCACTTCTCTTGGTTTCTTTCGTAATGCTCTGGTCCTACTTTTGTGGGGTGAAGATGATTCATATGAGCGCTCCGGCACATGAACGGTGAGTGGCAACGTATACTACCCAGGAAATACACCATGTACAACCACCTTCAACTCAAGCCTGCAGACGTTCGGCAGTATCCTAAAACAAAACATTCATAAATAATGTAACGCAACGTGCACACATAAATACATATTGACGGACGAACGCATAGCTTCGCCGCCCGATTCAAAACACTATGGCAAGCTTCAACTTCGTTGAAGCGATCCTGCCGTGAAATCCGATCCACTTCGGACAGTACAGGCTCCTTGCCCGAAGCACCGCCGGCGAAAAAAATGAAATCTGATGCGATAGAACACGTCTATCCCACCCGCCCGCGCGGGTTCGAAGGTGCAGAAATTCGATGATCATGATGACAGATCCCCCCGGCTGCGTGAGTAAATCACTCAAGTTGTTATCAAGTCCAGGCGTACATCGCCCAGCTACTGTAGTGTTAAGCACCTCCGACCTTGACCCCGGCCGCCTGTGAGGAGTAAAGCACGCACGGAATGGATGAATGCAATATACAGCGGCAACAATCAAGACGGAAAAAAACAAACGGGTTCGAAGGGTATCCTAGAACAGCTGTGACACTTTTTGGATGAAGGTGATATAACATGTGTGATGATCACATTGTACGAATCGGGAAAATGAATGACCAAAATCTGGTAATTCTACGAATATCTCGAATTCTCCCCGACAATTAATCTTGACTGGTGGACTTGCGGCGCACAGAAGGGGGGTGTAGGATAATACGAGATGCATGGTGGACACGTGTACACGTTATCATACAACAAAAGAGAGTATCCTGAGGGCTTCCTTCTCTCACATTCCGACAAGACAAGACGAGGTAAGCTGTGGAGGCCGGGATATATCACCGGCGGACAAAAACCCTGCAGATACGCGCCATCTGTTAGCGTTGTTAGGCAGACCCTCGTTGAGTCCCCGCTCGAGAACCTCTCTCTCTATATATATATATATATGTTTGGTCACACAACACAACACAACACAACATAACACAAGGAATCCATCTCTATCCACAGATGAGAGTCAAGCACGAAAATATAATCAGGTTATCTCTCCTTTCGACATTCTTGTCACAAGCCCACGGGTAAGATGCTGCATGCCCTCGGTAGCGGACCAACGCTACCCAGACGTTGGCACCCTTGAACCACTTGAACCACGTAATCTTTTGTACACAAGGAGCCTAGTGTAGCTCCTCAACATAGTCAAGTAGTCACGCAAGCAGACCTACAGACGAGAGACAGATGGTCCTCAACATAGTCAAGTCAAGTAGACCGACAGATGGGAGACAACTACCGACAGAACAAACATAGCGCACGTTCGCAAGAAGGCAAGAGAGAAGCTACAGAGCACAACGGCAACCTTGTCATGAAACCGCATCCTGGTCATGGAAACGACATCCTTGCCATGAAACGACATCCTTTTGCCTCGGAACGAGTAATGAAACGGCATCCTTGTCACGAAACGACAACTTTATGAAACGGCAAACTTGTCACGAAACGGCAACTTTGTCATGAAACGTCACCCTGGTCACGAAACGATAACTTTGGCATGAAAGGGCATCCTTGTCATGACACGACGACCCTTTGTCATGAAACGACAACCTTGTAAGGAAATCATGACAAGGCAAGAAAAAAACACCTGACTTACCAGGGTCATTCGCTCCATCTGCCACCTGTCGAAAACCCCCCACAAATCATTGGCGGACTGAGTTCTTGTTCCTCCGTCAGGGGCAGCCCCGGGTCGTGCGCGGCCCTATGCTTGACATCGCGCATGGTAAGCTTGCGAGAGGTGCGCGGGAACGACGGCGAGAAGGACGGAGTTGCGACAAGGGAAGAAAAACGAGGCTCACTTAGCTTCAAAAGATGGGTAACGAGAAGAAAAGAAAGGTTAGGACAGATGACCATCATCCTTGCACCCCAGCCGCGATTGGCACCAACTTCCCGATGGTGAAACGAGCCAATGCTACAAGTTTTCGCTTGATCAAGACATCAAGACATCTACTGTTACCCTTCGTTGTTGGTTGCTGTGGCTCGGACATATTTGACTGTTGACCATGGTGAGCTCCTGCAACCTGAAACTTGGACGTGAGCAGCAACCACATTCGTTTCAAACGGACCTGTACTCAAAGGGAAAACCACGAGTCGGACACCTTTGCGCAGAGTCGAACTACCGTAGATACATTTCTCGCCATGATTGCAAAAGCAGCGAAGACCAACAACAACCAACAGCAGCAACAACGAGACCAACATCAACACTCAACCTGCCATCGGAAATAACACATTGGAAGCTATCTAGGTACTAAACAAGAGCGCCCGTGCTATGGGTCCTTGACGTGGATCGCCACCCCGACAACAATATCACAGCAAAATTGCAACCACACGGTAGCAACACAGCCATACCTGAAACTGCATCGCCAGGAACATGCAACATACTCCTATTGAAGCAAAACATAGTGGAAGGAGTCGACTTTGTGGGCAAAGACATATTTCTTGGAAACAAATGTTGGGAACAAACCACTTCGGACAAGAATGATGCCAGGTTTGTTGCTACCATGCCGAAAACGCGTGAGCTGCACTATTCGCTTTGAAATTGAGCAAGTACTGCCGTAGAAACAGCTCAGGGTTTGATAGGGACCGAAACTACTAGTCTAAGGGGGTTCCGAATGGTCTATCAAAGTCTGTCAAGCCAGAGCTGTTGTCACGCAACCAAGCGGAGGGGTGGGCGAAGAACGCCAGCCCGACTTGCCAACACTTAACGAATCAACGTCCCTTGCTCCGGCCAATGTCGTAGAATACCTAAAGACCCAAGCATGTACAACCAGTGTGCACGCTTCTCCAACACAAGAAACGAGGACAGCTTCCTGTGGGTGAAAACACATTTGTTGATCATGTCTGGAGCGGGAGATGGTTTACGCCTCGGGCCGTGCTCGACTACACTCGCACCAACCACCAACACGAGCCTCACATCACGCCACACAGCCGTATACACGCGCGCAGGACTCACAACTGCTTCATCTGGAGAAACTTCCCTTGCAGAAGCCGGTGACGGGGGAAGGCAAGGGGCGGGCAGTACGTGGTCCAAGTCGTTGTCGGACACTGAGGACGACGAGATCGAAGATCCTGCTTCCGTAGCAGCGTCCACCGACGTCGTGTCCGCTTTCAGAGGCGGCGAGTCCATGCCATCGCCGTCACGATCTGGCCACGGGTCTTCGCCTGCTTCCGCGGTATCGTCGGCGTGGGCAGGGGAAGGGGGCGACGCCGGGGGAGAACTCGTGGTGTACGGGGAGGGGGAGAAGTCGTCGTACGAGAACGCGGCGAGCATCTCTTCTTCCGACGGCGAGATCAGCCCAGGGAGGGAGTCCATCGAGGGCCGAGAAATCATCAAAGATTCGAGCACCACCGCCCCCACCGCCGCCGCGCACGGGGACGGGGGATCCGGCAGCACGAACGTCGATGCCTCCGCCTCCACCCCTGCCGCCGGAAAGCGGAGATAGTCCACAACCACTCTTGGCCCTCCGCTGCTCTCCGTCGAAACACCCTGAAGGTTTTTGGGGGTCGGATACGGAAGGGGGTGACGGCGCTCGTTGGAACGGGTGTGGGTGAGAAAGCAGAGCGATGTAGGCGTGCACAGCATTCTATGGCGGTCGATTCTGACCCTTTAAAGCGGGTCGGGGTGTTTGTACTGCAGTAGCGGGCGCGAGAGAAATCACTAGTAGTCGCGTGCTGCGGTTGGTGCTCAACAGCCTCACCGAAGATTATTTGTTGAGTACCGGGTGACGGGAGGTTGTTTTTGTTCCTTATCGAGCACGCTCACGTCCTATACACTCCACACGTTCACAGCAGTGATAGATGCAACATGTAGGAGGGAGACATATCCAGTCTCCTTTGGGTTCTCGCAGGACAGACAGGGAAAGAAGCAGATTTCTGACGACGATTTCGCGAACAGAAGGTGATCCTTGCAAGATGCATTTCAACAACGTATGCATGTGCATACATGAGGTACCCTTCTTCGGTCACTTCGGGGCTCGATCTACGGTGTGCCACGTAAACTCGCAAACTTGATTGTCTGCTCCGAGCCGAGCTCTGACTTTCCCGCCACTTCAAAACAAGATTAGCTTCAGAGGAACCCCATTGAATTAAAAACAAAATACCCGCCACACAGGTGCAGACTCGGTTTCGTCTGCTAGACTAGCTGCAGTGGAGGGGCTTAGGCCGGGAGGCGTCGCTGTGGCACAATTTGAAAGGGCGGATTGTTGTCCAGTCCATCTTCCTCTAGCTGATTGCAGTCGGTGGTGCCTTACCTCGTACGAGGTGAATTTTTGCAGTCGACCCCCCCTACTGCTGATTGTATTCGTGTACCTCTTCCTGTCAGTAAACTTCTTTTTCAACTACTGTACTACTGCCGTATGCATACAGCAGTCAGTGCAATAGTTGAATGCATACCTCGTCGAGTCGCATCGTGATCTCTTCAACATCTTCGATCGTCAGATCCTCCACAGCCACACCATCGCCTTGAGAGTACAACAAGCAGTATAAGACGAGGATGAGTGCGTGAATGGACCGGAATCGAGGCGCTGAAGAGCGCGATGGAAACATAAGTGCTGTTGTACATAGATTTACTTGCCGTGTCCGCCCGCACACCGCACACCGCCGTGTCGTCATTTCTGGGTGTCGGCCAAGGCGTTGGACTGGACGCTGGACGCGCAGCATGGTAGGCTGCCGCATGCACACAGGTAATATTCCTCCTTGTGAAGAGCCATCGCACGAGCGAGATCATGATCGATCCTGCTGCTGCTGTCGAATCCTAAACACTCGTAACCTCGCCATCAACTACGCTGGCCTCACGATTTCCTACAAGCTAATTGGCTGATAGTAACACCGACGACAGCGGCGGCCAACGACGCAACACCCAACGGCCACCTGCAACGAGGGCAGCGAGGAAAGACAAAACCTGTCTCTTCCGTCCCACCGTACCGCATGGGTCATCACCCTTGGATTTTTTTGTGGGCCAACGGCAACGCTTACTCTCTGCATCGGGTTTTCGCGAGGGGCAGAGGTGGGCGGGGTGTGGTCGATTCTCGCCGGCCAAACCAGCCGAATACGGGACAGAAAAAAAAGGAACTCAACGTGTTGCCGACCCGTCTGTACGGCTTGGCGGAAGTAAAGCCCACCCACCAACGACCGAACGAGTTTGGTTCATGGTTACACATGCACAGCACCTGAGCTCTTTGGAGATTGCTGCTGCCGCAGTAGGGCGAGCTTCTTCTCCCTGAGCTTCTCCTTTTCCTCGCCAAGCCTATCGAGCTCTTCCATGAGGTGCGCTCTCTCTGCCTCCGCGGGGGTGGCGGCGGTTGCCCCGGCGGTGGTTTCTTCTGTGGGTGCTTCTTCTCGTGCTGCGGGAAGCAATCGCTTTAGCTTCGCTTCCAGAGTGTCCAACACGCCCGCCTCCCAATCGATTGCAGCCATGGCGAAGCCATCGATATCGCCCTCCTTACCCACTGGGCCAAACAATGGCGGTTCTTTCGAGGCCATGGCGTGTCGTGCCGCTGGACTGTGGGCAGGGGCCTTATGTGGAGTTGTGCGTGCTGTCACAAGTGCATGTGACAAGGGACGCATTCATACGCGTGTCGAAGGGCTGCAGGGATGCCAAAAGGAGTCTTTCGGAGATCTCGTAGAATACCGGGTGACTTGCAACCTCGGCGGCTGCCATTATTTTTCAACCTTTTGAGATTTGACGGACAATTCAAGGTGCACACATAATTACGCGCAGACATTGTTGTTGTTGTTGTCTTCACATTAAAAACCGTTATGATCTCTCTCTACCCAGTACCTTCATATGTCCGTACTGATACAACACTCGACGCGGTCGATTCCCGTGGTCGCTGGCTAACTTGCCCTAAAATGGTACAGCAGTATTATAAAACGCCCCCGAGGGGTCCGCAAGTCAATAGAAATCAACGACAGATATTCTGGAGTCCTCCACTCCATAGAACAAGAGGAAGCGTTCTCGGCTGGATTCATCAGGATCGTGAGACATTTTGACGAGCCTGCACGTGCGCCTACATAAGAAAAGATCAGCAGAGTTCGTCGCATTTATGTTTGTCGGCAACGAAACAAGGCGCACATGATGGTGATCGATTGGGACGATCTTTCAAAGATTATTCGTTTCCCGTAAAAGTGCGTGTGACGGCACCCATCGGTGATTTCGTACCGGGTCCGCAAAAATATCAATAATAACGGCATGTATTTCCGCACCGGTATCGGTGTTACCGCGCCGGTGCGATATTAACGATAAAAAATCTGCTTTTAAGGACTAAAGTTTACGTGCTTCCGCAAGGTACGCGGTTGGCAGGTACCCCTTGGGGCGCCATTTTATTGATGTATATCGTACCGTCGTGATTTGCGCAGTAGAAATGATTTTTGTTTTTTCTACAGTAGCTGGCAGTAATTCGTACCATTGGTCCATCGAACGCACTCACTCACTCAACCAAGCACACAGCAGTACATTCCGCACCTCCAACCAACCGAACAAGAAGGAGTTCGTAAACGGTAATGAATGCAGTAATAATTGTACCGTCTACGCAAGCTCCTCCTATTTCCGCACCGGTATCGGTGGTAAGGGACCGGGGGGGGGGGGACCCTTATCATGTTTTGCATGCCTTAGCGGTTAGACCATTGACCACGCGTCCTCGAGAGGACGGAGCATTGTTCCCACAGGACCGATCACCAATGGCCAATCGTTCCTTTCTACTTTTCCAAAGGTGGCTCAATAATGTCTTCCCTAGTCTGTCTATCCGAACGATATCCCTTGCCGCCTTTTCAACCCACCTCCTATGCCCCAGTACAGCTACCACCGTCCTTTCCTCTCTATTCCATGCCTCAAGCATCTCTCTGTACGTCCATTTACTTTTCCCAGCTCAGTCACGTACACTTCCCTCTCCTTGTTGTACAACGGACATTCCGCGACTACATGAACACGGTCTTCGCATTNNGATATCCCTTGCCGCCTTTTCAACCCACCTCCTATGCCCCAGTACAGCTACCACCGTCCTTTCCTCTCTATTCCATGCCTCAAGCATCTCTCTGTACGTCCATTTACTTTTCCCAGCTCAGTCACGTACACTTCCCTCTCCTTGTTGTACAACGGACATTCCGCGACTACATGAACACGGCGGTCTTCGCCTTCGAAGCCGCAATCACATTTATTTGAGCTCTCGTCTTCGTCGTCTACCGTTCTATGTCTTCGTCGACGCTCTCGAAGGCCTATGTCCCCGGTCCTGAATTTGACCTTAAGCTTTTCTCCTGCATCCAATGGTCCATGTAGGTACTCCTTGAACCCTAGACTATTCCTTCCTTCAACATTCCGTACTCTTCTAGACCCTCCTTATCCTTGGATTTTTTCCTTATATTCTCTGTTCTTCTCTCTCGGCACAACCAACAGATATCTTCTCCTTGACCCCCTGTAGACCCTCCGTTTGTTTCCAGCGTTCCATCTTCTGGATACGGAGGGTCTACAGGGGTTCAAGGCGAGGACCGGGGTGCGATAAAAACCCAAGATAGGAACGATCGCACCCTGGTGCCATCACACGCACTTTTACGGTACCTTGGTACATAGACTAATGCTTCAGCGATCTTGTTTTGTAAGGCTCATAATGACAATAACGCCGTATGAATGTGAATAAGGCCACAAGGCCGGGTGTACATGTAGACTGTGCAATCCGGCAGCCGTCATTTGCTGCCAGACGCCCTGAGCAAAACAAATGGTCGTAGCCAATAGCATTCAATTCGTCGGAGTCCGTCCGGGAGCGACCCTCTCCAACCTTTGGTACAAATATCATCATAGAGTTTAAAGTGTTTAATGTTTTGTTTTATGCACATAAAAATCAAGAGCAGAGGGTAGTAGGGACTGAATGCGTATGACATAAATTCAAATTTGTTCGTCACTACACGGATTGACTTGCCTGTAGAGTTCAATGCTGTCGTGCCGCACGAAAGCCCCGGACTATACGTTTGTGAATACTCATCGCCGTCGATGCACCTCACCATCATCACTGTAGCATACTGCAGAAGATACAAGGAAAAGGGCAGGGTTGAATATATTTCCAGAGATTCAACCAACCCTATATCCACTATATGCACTGTTCATTCGGCAACGTAAATAATACGCCCGCCCACCCATTTCTACCGCAGATTGCACGCTCCGCTTCACGCAGTATATAACTACCATCACAACAAGCTGCGCGGGCCGTCGCCTGAGCCAGACAAAAGATGCATACATAGAGAGATTCAGTTAGGCGATAGAATCCAACTACATCCACCTGTATGTACTCTAAAGAATGCATAGAAGGCACTCTCTCCTTTCAGTCGTCCCCGCAACTCGTCTTCTTTCCGCACGCACGCTCGCAGGCTCAACACCATCCCCCTCCTGAAAGTGTGCCATTCCACGCCACTGGCAATGCCGAACAAATCGATCCAAGTCCAACTAAAATGACAAAAACACGAGGTGCTACTACTGCATCAAAAATTGTCATCTTCGCAGCAAAAACCATTCCAGTCTCTGCTCAGAACCGCCTTATATCATCCAGACCGGTCCAACTCACGCGCAAGCCTTCCTTCCACGGGTCACAGGTAGTAAGTAGGTCGACTACGGTGTGTGCGCAAACAAGGGTGCATGCAAACGCTTCGGAAATCAGGCCGGTGAGTGCGGTGGGAAAAAATCGCGGGACACAGGATGGGAAAAAACAACAAAAACTAGAGCAAGCGGATCGTCAGACCGATCGGGTCAACTATTTTGAACACTCAAATCGTCTCTTCTCCGAACACAAGACAAACAGGGTGCCCTTCACCCCGATCAACGACCTAGGCTGCCGAAGCGTTCGTATTCCTTCAGCCAAGTCAACCCAGAGTACAAACACACGGACCAACCAGATCGATGCAAACGTCACACACGAAACCGCCGCCTGTACTAGCTCGCCTCCTAAGACGGCCAGTACCGTCCGTCCGTACTTGCACAGGGTAGATAAATAAATTAAACTATCATTATCCAGAAGATCAAACAAAATCCTTCAAAGACAACTAACACTGCTTGGCGTCCGCACGAAATCGTAGACTATCTTGCCTCGATGGCCTCCTTCATGAAGACTTCTTTCACCGTGTGACTCCCCCCAGCCGCCCTTCGCAGTTTCAATCATCATCATCCCAAGGAAATAATAAAATACAGAAAATTCAACCATCAGGGTACGTATCTTCCTTTCTGCGCGGCAGGAAGTTTTTTTTTCCCGTCTGCCTGTGGCAAAAGTATTTGCGCACGGCAGGTGGGTGTACATGTTACTTTCGACGCAATGCGCCCATCTTCGTCTTTACCATATCCGTCCGACGACCTGGCATCACCTCGTTAAAGCTCTCACCACCCATGGGGGGAAGCCCCCTCCCCCCCCCAAAAGTCTGACAGCTCCCAACTTCGTGTTTTGCTTTTACCTCAAGCCGCTAGGCCATCAACCTAGCAACTTTCTCCAGATAAATGAAATGGACACCCGCGATACCATGAGGTGTTCGCCACACCCTCACGTCGTACAGGTGTTCCTCATCTTACCAACTCTTATTCTGCCGGTGCCTCAGTCCATCCAGCGTCACGGACAGCACACTGCTACAGTGGCCATTGCCGTGCCCTCATGAAGTAAGTGTACGCCCACGTATTTGTCATTCAACGGCACACCCGCCGAGTTTCCTCATTTCCGAAGGAGAAGGTGGCCCACCCTTTATGGCCCACACACCCTTCGACTCGACCGCTTTGGGCTACTCCCTCCATCTCTCTGTTTCCTCCGACGGACAAGCGGTCAATGTCTCTTCGTGCCGACAAGAGGTGCAATCTGAAACCGAAAGTAAACAAAACCACCAGCCAGGCATTATACGAAAACTGATGTTCTCGACTTCGAAACGTCAACCCGTAAACCTACAGATACCAGTATCGAGCCGGACTCGCAGGCATTTTTTCATTTTTTCGTCCGACCCTACTTTCAATACTTTCAACGGGGTACATGCTTCCTTCAGTATGATCCCGCCGCGTCTCTGCCTGACATCATGGACTTGCTCACGTCACTTCCAGCAAAGGCACCACCCGCCTCTTCCTGCTTCTACAGGGTACTGCTTCTTGCAGTGCCATCAAAATTCTCTCTAGGGAGACAGACTGGTCTATGTAGGGTCGCATCATGCATGGTCTCACCACCGTTCACACATCAAAATCTAACCCCACTTCCCTCCCACTCTTATCTATTCCGAGACCGCGACCCGCGCCAAGTGATGTCGTTTCTACCTCTACCCTGCCGCCACCAGCAGAAACCGTATCTCCCATCTCTCCTCAAACAAGCGTGGCCTGCAGCGGTAACAACCCTTCCCCCACATTAACAGGGAACACAAAAAAAAAAACTCTCCCGCGGGCGACGTGTCCCTGTCTCTAGCGACTCTCGTCGGGCGACGGCGTCCATCCTAGGTGTGGCGAGACGCAACATGACAAATCACATCCATCTCGCCAACATTTCCTGACGCGTGTCTCAGCCTCATCAAAGCAGTCACATCAATCTCGCCAGCATTATTTTTTCGTATGTCTCAGCCTTAACAAGACAATCACATCAATCTCGCCAACATCTTTAGTTTTTTTCGAGGTGTCTCAGGTGTAACCAAACCATAACATCAACCACGTCAATCACATCAATCTCGCCAACCTTTGTTTTGCGTATGTCTGCTGCAACCCACCCTGAAACAAACTTCTAGCAGCACACCCTCCCTTTGCTCGATTCGCAAGCCGCCCCTTTCCGATGCAGTCCCAACCGTTGGGTGTAATCCCAACCGCAATCTCAGAGAGTAGACTTCCAGCATGGCGGTCGCACCGTGCGGGGAAAATGCCGAGATGGAGAGGAGAGTCATCCGGGTTAGGCGACGGACTCCTTGGACCTGGAAAACGAAGACGACCACAAACCACGAGAAAACAAGGCGTTGGCGTCACATAAGCGGCTCCAACTGCTGCAGCTCCTGCGCAAGGCGAACGAAGGCTGAATGAATGATGATACACGCAAGAAGGACCAAACCATCACATTTGTTCCTCAACCCAACAACACATCATCCTCCGCAACAAAAAATAAAAGTGAGCTCCCAGTGTCTCTTGGGAACCACGCCACTATTTGAGAAATCGTGTCCCTCTGTTTCACCGCACATAGGCGCGCAGACGTATGTCACTGCTGTGTGCGTGTCCATTGCACGGGCTTCAACTACGTGTGTCCTGTCAGATGTCTACTGCAGCTCTCCCGTCAGCTGCCCGTGTCAGCTGAGACTGGCTACTTTACGTCAGTGTGCCAGCTCAGAGTGGTTCTACGTTGGTGCACCGCACAGCCCCAACTCGCCCCTCTACCTGTCACATCCGCTTATTCTTCCACTCCCATGCTGCTGCTGTGACAGCTTCACTCTCACCCACCGCTAGCAGCTAGACTGCCCCATAACGACTCTCGACCCCCCCTCTCGACGGCTACCAGAGCATGCCCCAGATAAAAGTAACTCACTCTAAATGCCCGCCGCCGGATGGAGCTCCTTTCTTGTAGGAGTTCCCTCCCTGGTTGGTCGTGACAGCGATAACGGCAGAATGGGCACAGGCAGGAAGGGATGATTGAGGTTCCCCAGTCACTTCGGGGTGTCCAATTTTCGATTCGGTGTGGCGGTATGAGCCGGAGAAAACGCACCACGGAACGTCGTGGAAACACTCAAGATGGCAGATGTTGCTCTGCTGCCTACTCGTGCTGCTCCCGATGTTGCTTCTCACACTCTTGCAGATGCTATATAGATCACCGCCGAAAATTCTTCACCACAAAACCGCGCAACCCCCCCCCCCCCCCCCCCCCCCCCCCCCCCCCCCCCCCCCCCCCCCCCCCCCCCCCNGACGGAACCCCCAAAAAAACAAATACACAAGATAGCATTCAAGGCTCCCCTGCCGGAGTTCGGTGGCTTGAACCCCGGGAGAGACGCAATAGGACATGGCCAACGATATGACGGTTGCATCAACCATGGGATAGTGCCGCGGATTCAGTACAAACCGCAGAAGATGCCTGGCATCACTGCCATGTACCTGAGATGTGTGACGGCGGTATCTTTCCGAAGCCACCAAGTCGCGCTGCTGCATGGCGCTCTCCTCTAGCGCGCGTGCGGCGTCTTCCCTCCTCTTCGCCTCCTCCTCCCTCCTCATGGCCCTCTTGTTAACCCTTTCCAGGGAAGCCGCATACTCTGTGTAGGGGGGGGGGGGGGGGGNGGGGGGGGAGTCCGCGTGATGGAAGAGGAAGGAGGGGTAGGATGGTGGTGTTGTTTCGTGTTTCCCAGCAGACGCAGCGTCTAGATGTTGGGCAATAATAGGGGTGTGAGGGATACGCTACACTGGGCCTTCCGCGTGTCGGTGTCTTTGTGGGGCTGCCGGAAAGCCAACATCTGCCATTGCTGTCTTTTGTGACGAACAAAATATCACTCGCATCACAATTTCGTCGAGAGCCGAACCGACCAAGTGACCAAGTCGGGTTACATCTGCCTCTAAACCACTAACCAGCACCAAAAGAAGGTACATGCAACAGAGGTCAGCATTCGTTGCTGTCACGCAACACAGAGCGACAGCATTGACACCAACCAGGAAACATGCATTGCTTTGCTTCTGTTTGTTCTCCAGTGCCAAGATCAAAACACCCTCTGCTATCCATACCCTCCTGAACCATATGTACAATACTTAAATGCTGCATCGACTAGAAAACAATCTACCCTATTAATTATTAATGGCAGTCTTACGACCTCTCGCCAACATACCTTCCATGGCCTCCTTGAGCATCCTCTCCGACCGCTTCTCGACCTGTCTGATCCTCTCCTGGGCTAGCTCCAGAGACGCCGTAGCCTCCGCCTTCAACAACCTCGCCTCTTCCTCCATCTTCACGGTCGCCTGAGCGACAAGAGAGAGAGAGAGAGAGACACACACGAACAAAATGGGTGTGTGAGCTTCGTTCTCCTCCCACCTACGCTGCAGAGTTCAGCTTGAGGCCTATTCGGTGCCATGTCCTTCCGATACAACAGCGGGAGTGGAGTTACACGGACGGTGGTGCTGTACAGTACGGACGCCACAAAAGGGTTTCTTTGCTCTCTCCCCTGTCCGACTGCACCGTCTCGACTGAGGCTATAAACCCTCACAACCCTCAAGAATCAAACATAGTGTGCGTACGAAACCGTACAAAGCCAAAGCCGCCGGCACTCTGACTGTACAGCACCAAACACAAAGCGGTAACGTACACTATCCAGGACCGACGGATCGCGAGACCAACAAGGCACAACAAAAGGCGCCAACTCGCCTCAAGAGCGCGCGAAGCTGACAGCTCCCGCTGCCTCGCCGACGCCTCCACGTTGTCCACCTGCTCCTGCGCCGCCGCCGCCGCCGCGATTGCGTCCTCCGCCCGCCGGGTAAGCTCCTCCACCATATCTGCCCTCTCGGCCGCGAGGGCCTCGGCCGCCTCGACCCGCTGCTCCAGGTCCCCGATCTGCTTCGCCGTGGTCGCGTTGAGGTGGTCGATCTTCTTCGCCCGCTCGACCGCAAGGAAGTCGGCGCTCTCGACGCGCTGCTCCAGCTCGGTGATGAGCGTCACCGCTGCGGCCGCCTCGCCCTGGGCGCTCTCCAGGCGTTGCTCCAGCTCCTCGATAAGCTTAGCCGCCGCGGCGGCGGCCCCGGCGGCCCCAGCCTCGCCGGACTGGATCGCCGCCGCCGCCTCCGCTTCCGACCTCTCGACGCGCTGCTCGAGCTCCCCGATCCTCTTGCCCCGCTCCACCACGAGGCTGACGGCGCTCTCGACCCGCTGCTCCAGCTCCTCGATCTGCTTCGCCGTGACGGACTCGATGTGGGCGATCTGCTTCGCCCGCTCGGCGGCCAGGGAGGCCGCGCTGTCGACGCGCTGCTCCAGCTCCCCGAGCTGCTTGGCCCGCTCCAGCGCCAGGGAGGTGGTGTTGTCACCCCGCTGCTCCAGCACCACGATCTGCTTCGCCCGCTCCGCCGCCAGAAGCTCCGCGGTCTTTGCGCGGTGGTCCTGCTCGAGAAGCTGCTTCTTCAAGTCCTTCGTCTTGGCCTCCGCGCCCTCCGCCCGCTGCTTCAGCTCGTCGATCTGCTTCGTCGTGTTCGCCTCCACGTCGAGGAGCTGCTTGGCGCGTTTCGCCGCCAACGACCCCAAGCGATCGGATCGTTGCTCGAGCTCCGCGATGTGCTTCGCCTGAGTCTCGGCGAGAGACTTTGCCCTGTCCGCGCGCTCCTCGAATACGGCCATCTGCTTGGCCCTCTCGGCCGCCAGGGACCCCGCGCTCTCGCCGCGCTGCTCGAGCTCCCCGACCTGCCTCGCCCGCTCTGCCGCGAGAGAGGCGACGCTCTCCCCCCGCTGCTCGAGCACCAGGATCTGCTTCGTCCGCTCCGCCGCCAGGAGCTCCGCGGTCTCCGCGCGGTGGTCCAGCTCCCTGATCTGCTTCGCCGCCGACGTCTCGACCTCCCGGAGCCTCTTGCTCCTCTCGGCGGCGAGCTTCTCGGCGGTCTCCGCGCGTTGCTCGACCTCCGACAACTGCGAGGCCGCCGCCGCCGCCGCCGTCGCCGCCTCCGCCACGGCAAGCTCGGCGCTCTCCGCGCGCTGCTCTAGCTCCGCGATCTGCTTGGAAGAGGCCTCCTCGAAGACCGCCATCTTGTGCGCGTGCTCCACCGCCACGGAGTCGGCGCTCTTGACCCTCCTCTCCAGCTCCACCACCTGCTTCGCCGTGACGGCCTCTAGCTCCGCAATCTGCTTGGCGAGCTTCATCGAAAGAAGCTCCGCGGTCCCCGCGCGCTGCTCGAGGTCCCCGATCTGCTTTCCCGTGGTGGTCTCTAGCTCCTCCACCTGCTTCGCCCGAGCCGCTTCCAACTCCGTGAGGCTGTCGCCCCTCTCCGTCGCCAAGAGCTCCGCGGCTTCCGCGCGACGGGTCAGCTCCCGCACCTGCTTCGCCGTCGACTTCTCCAGCTCCTCGATCTTCTTCGCCCGCGCGCTGGCCAAGAGCTCGGCGGTCTCGGCCCGATTGTCCTGGTCCATCAGCTGCTTGCCAGCCTCCCTGCCGCGAATCTCCGCGGTCTCGGCGCGGTGGCCTAGCTCCAAGAGCTGCTTGGCGCGCTCGCAGGACGTCTGCTCCGCGCTCTCGACCCGCTTCTCCAGGTCCCTGATCTCCTTCGCCGTCGTGACCTCGAGCTTCGTGAGCTGCTCCGCCCGCTCGGCCGCGAGGGAGGCCACCGTTTCCGAGTGCTGCTCCAGCTTCGCGATGTGCTTCGCCTGCGCCTCAGCCAGAGACTTGGCCCTTTCCGCCCGCTCCTCCAACACCGCCATTTGCTTCGCCCGCTCGGCCGCCAGGGACCCCGCGCTCTCACCCCGCTTCTCGAGCTCCGCCCGCTGCTGCGCGGCTAGCGCCGCCGCTTGGGAGGCCGCCGCCGCCGCGGAGTCCGCGCTCTCCGCGCGCTGCTTCCACCTTGCGATCTCCACGGCCGACGCCTTCTCGACGTCCGCGGCCTGCTGCACTCGCTCCGCTGCCCGGGACTCGGCGCTCTCGACGCGCTTCTTCATCTCCTCCACCTGCCTCGCCGTGGTCGCCTCCAGGTTCGACAGCTGCTTGGCCCGCTCGGCCGCAAGGGCTGCCGCGCTCTCCGAGTGCTGCTCCAGCTCCGCGATGTGCTTCGCCTGCGCGCCGGCGAGAGACTTGGCCCGCTGCGCCCGCTCCTCGAAGACGGCCATCTTCTTCGCCCGCTCCTCCGCCAGGGACCCCACGCTCTGGCCCCGCTTCTCGAGCTCCGCCATCTGCTGCGCCGCCACCGCCGCCGCCGTCGACGCTGCCGCCGCCGCCAGCTCGGCGTTCTCCGCGCGCTGCTTGAGCTCTTCCATCTGCTTCGCGGAGGCCTTCTCGAGGGCGGCGGCCTGCTTCGCCCGCTCCTCGGCCAACAAGTTGGCGTTCTCGGCGCGCTGCTCCAGCACCTCCCCGAGCTGCTTCGCCGCCGTCGCCGCCGCGGCCGCCGCCGCTTCTTCCGCGTTCTCCGCCCGCTGCTCCAGCTCCGCTATCTTCTTCGCCGCCGCCTCCTTGGAGGCGGCGGACTGCTGCGCCCGCTCGGCCGCGAGGGACTCGGCGTCCCTGACGCGCTGCTCCAGGTCGGCCACGAGCCTCGCCGACTCCGCCTTGACCGCCGAGAGCTCCCTGGCGCGATTTTCGGCGAGGGACCTCGCGCTCTCCCCGCCCAGCTCGTCCTCCGCAGCCCTCAGCTCCGCCGCCGCTACCGCCGCCTCGGCCGCCGCGGCCACGGCCGACTCGGCGCTCTGGATCCTCTGCTCCAGCTCCCCGACCTGCTTCGCGTTCGCCTCCTCCAGCTCCGCGATCTGATTGGCCCGCTCCTTGGCTAGGAGCTCCGCGGTCTCCGCGTTGTTCTCCTGCTGCAGGACTTGCTCCGCTAGGTCTCTCTGCAGAGCCTCCGCCCTCTCGACGCGGCCTTCGAGCTCCCCGACCTGCTTCGCCCGTTCCCCCGCGATCTGCTCCGCGGTCTCGGCGCGATGTTCCAGGGCGGACACTAGCCTAGCCGCGAAGAGGGACGGAGGAGGCGGGCCCGACGGCATGCCGACCCCGTTGAACAGGGGGCGTACTGTGAAACGGGGCGGCGGAGGCGGTGCAGGAGGAGGAACACGATATGCGGTGACGACGTGGAAGAACGGCGGCGTGGGCGGGCGGGGCGAGGGATCAGTCGAACGAACGGATAGGTTCGGCATGCATGAATTGTTACAACAATTGGATAATCTCGCGAGGAGAGAAAGAGGGAGAGGGGGGGGGGGGGGGG